AGCAGGGATCATTAGATCATCGTCTGATCTGCTATGTTAAAATACAGGCTGGAGGGCCTTCCTTGAATTCCTTCCTGTTTGAACCAGAGCAGACCTAGAAAAACATCCAGGCTTGCTTTGCGGCTTAGGCTGAATTAGGGGAAATGTTTAAGTTCTAAGAGGAGGCGCTGGGGTTCGTCAGAAGCAACGAGCGAGGCAGAGGAGCCGCTTTTCCACTGTCCCCCTCCCAGCGCCAGCAGCCACTGCAATAGAGGAACCCACCAGGAGGAAAGCAAACCGGGTCCTTGTAGCAGCCTGCGTCAGGAGCATCACAGAGTGAACAAGGCCAATGGCAAAGGTACCTCAGGCTTGTGTCTGTCTAATCCATCCATGCCGTGAACGATCAAAAGAACAATGTTAAAGACTCAAAAGACGGTGTCTCCTAGCTGGCTGTGGGCAGCTGGGTTCCTGCCACCATAGTAAATGGGGTGGAGGTTGAGTTGACACGGGATATTCTAGGGCAGGGGTTCTCAGTGTATCCCACTCTGGGAACCCCCTCCCACTTAGTAATGTGGGGAAGGCTGAGAGGTTGCAACCTGCAGGAGCCCGTTAGCGGAGCTGGTTGGGAATTTTTCTACATATTGTTTTTTCATTGAAACATGCCGATTCATCAAAACCCTTCGCCAAACAGAACCGGGCTCGATGAATTCCCGCCTGGAAACCACGTGGAGAAACGAAGGACTGAAATTGTCATAGTGTTTCATTTGGACCCCGTTTGAAATGAAAAATTCCAGTTTCCCAGTTCTGAATCCCCCTTTTCAGTTTTGAAATTGCAGCTAATGAGGCTGAAAAGAAGGTTGAAAAATAGGACAAAAAAGTCAAAGTTTAAACGAAACATCTTGAATGATCCAAAACAAACAAAAACTTCAGGGGGCAAATATTTTTGACACTTCGTCCCGATTCAAGACAGGAAACTTCAAACTCTCGAAAATATCTGTGGGATGGCAAAACTGATCCCTGCCAAGCTCTAGTAGCCACTGAGGAACAAGAAACTCCCTGCCACCAGGGACAGTGTGTGCTGCCCGTCGACAATACCCCCAAGCCCAGGGCTGCCCAGTTATTTTTTCCAGTTTATATGTTTTTTTTAACACTTTATCAGTGCACTCATCTGCCAGGGTCAATCATTTAGCAAGGGGCAAGTTATCCAGTGGTTAGAGCAAGGCACTGGGAACCCAGGACTCCTGGGTTCTATTTCTGGCCCTATGTGATCTTAGACTCACTGTGCCTCAGTGTCCCCACCTGTAAAATTAGCCGAACAAGCCCCGTTGTGAAGGACTTAATGGCTTGAGAAGGTGACTTGAAGGTCTATGCAACAGGTTTTAAACATACACACTCCCTTGATCCCCAGGTTCATATCTTGAAAGAGTCAACAGTCTTTCAACCTTCACAGAGAGAGAAATTGAATTCCATGGAGTTTATTGTGCGTGGGACCTTAAGAGGAGACCTTGCAAGCTGAGACCTGATCTGCTGCATATTGACATTAAAGATCCCAGGGCTCTTTTCAGAAGAGTAGATTTCCCCCACCCTGGTATCAACTAAACTTTCCCTCCCTCTCTTAGCCTCCTCTCCAGAGGTGGTTGCATTTCAGTGGCACATAGTTCTTAAAATGCTTCCCGCTCCCAGACAGCCTTACATGTGTATGAAGTATGGTCAATTATAGGGCACGAATTTCATGTCAGACCAGGAGAGTCACGTCTCACTCTGGCTGCAGCAGAAAGGACCTAATATACATCTGCCAAAAAAGACTGGACTTTCCTTCTCATCTTCCTTCTTGTGCGAGTAATTGGGCCTGTTTTATCCCCTCTCTGTTATTAGCCTTGGGGCGCTTCCTACCTGTAGCAAGAGAGAATCAGTTTGAACATATCTGGCTAACTTCCCCTTCTCCACATGCCATCTGTATTTAATACCACAACAGAGACAGATTGTGTTACTAATTACTCTTTCCCCTGCAGAACAAGCTAGCCAGAGACCCTCCTCACCTTGATTTAATTATTCAGCTGCACCTTTGTTCCCCTATTCTCCTTTTCTGAGTTTTTATTTTCCATCAGTGCATCTTGCAAGTTTCACTCAGATCTTGTCTACACACACACAATGCAGCTTTACTAGTACAAAGGTGCTTTACACTGGGATAGCTATTCCTGGATCGCTCCAGTGGCCAAAGGCACCTTTCTGCCAGTATAATCCCTGCTAGGGATTGCACTGGTACAACTATCTCCATACAAACAATCACCACTGTAACTGAAATATTTGTATGGTACCAGTACAAAACCCGGGTGTGGCCCAGGCTGCGTTATTATGATTTACCACTTCTATTGTGGTAGCACCACGGAGCCCCAGTCCGGGACCAGGACCCCAATGAGCGAGGTGCTGTACAAACACAGACCAAAAAGAAGCCCCAATGAGAACACAGTCAAAGTCTGCCTTGCCTTCATAGCGGTTTTTAGGATAACCAGTCTGGAAATTCTGTCAAGCCCAAAGCCTTTTTGGAAGATGGGATCCTTCAAGGGGTTTATTTTCTGGTTCTTTGGGGTTGTGGCATGTACTGGGGGGGGGGGGGGGGGGGGGGGGGGGCAGCCCTTAGCTTCCCAGGGGCCAGCGATGAAGGAGCAGTAACTGCTTTCAGCTCCAAGAACAGGAGTACTTGCGGATACAGACTAACACGGCTGCTACTCTGAAATGCTTTCAGCTCTGTGACTACAGCATTAAATTTCAGTTATATCATGGGCTGATACCTGGGAGATAATCTATAAACTTTCCTGTTTCTTCTCAGGTGTTAGCCTGGGCTTTCCCGCAGACTGGGTGAACGCTGAACCTTTGATGCTGCCACAGGTGTAGAGAGGACATGGGAAGTGACACTACGGGGGGAAGGAGGGGATGTTGCTCAGGTGGACAGGGCAAGAGAGGATACTATGCGATCTCAGGCAAGTTGCTTCATGTCCTCATTGCATGAGTCAGCCCCCAGCCCCAAATATGGAGATAAGGAGAGTGTGGAGGGTGAATTAATTCATGTTTATAAAACACGTTGAAAATGTGAAGCACTGTAGGTCAGCCTGAGCCTCAGCTACTCAACCCTGTTTTACTGGGAAGAGGCCACTGAGGTAATTATTCCTTGCTCCTTAGCTTGTATTTCCACCAGGACAGCCGTTACTATCAGCCACAAGGGACAACGGTGTCTCCTAGCTGGCAAACTCCTCTAATCCCACCACTACCCCAATGTTCTTTATCTATAGGGAGCCATTAGATATAGCCACAGACAATGCTGGAGGGAAAACAGCTGCATTCACACCAGTCTCTTATCTCTTCCGTTGTATACCTACAATGTTTAAAATGCCCTCTGAATGGGGGAGGGCTGAAGATGTCCTAAAAAACCCCTCAGCTCCCACAAAAAGCTTTCAGAGAGATGTGTCTTACCTCCAGCCCTTCCCTTCATGGTGGTTTTAATCGTCCCTAGGAAGCACTTTATTACAAAGTTAGCCACAAACCCTTTTAGTCCATTTCCCACAGTCCCTAGAGCCCTACTATGTCCTCATAGTCACAGCACCTTCCCCTGCCAGCCCAGTTCCCAGAATGCTAGCCCATCCCCCTGTAACCACAGTCTCCTACAGGAACCTAGGAAAAGGTCATACCAACAATACAAATTGATAATTATTAACCCCTAGTTCTTTTCATCAGTTGATCTCAAAGCACTTTCCAAAGGTGGTCAGTATTATTATCCTCAGTTTACATATGGGAAACTAAGACCTGGCAGGTATAGCAGAGCCAGGAATTGACCCCCGTCTGCTGCAGCCCAGCAGTGCTCCACCCACTAGCCCGTACTATCTCAGATGTTTCAAAGGAATGTATGAGAAACATTGTGATGGACAATGACGGGCAACCTACCCATGGCAGCGTCTCCTTAACCCCAAGCAGTGAGTGGCTGACTAATGCTATAGCCCGGCCATTACAGACCTTGCTCCTATTGATCCAGGCCAATGACCTTGAGCTGCAGCCCCTATTGAAAAGGAGAGTATCCACAGCTACGTTAGCATGATAATTACATATGGGCTAGAAATCCTCTTGCTTTAGAGCATGCACCAGCCACTAGCTGCCTGAGTTTAGGAAGAAACTTCCCCTGTGGGCAGAGGATTCCAGAATTGTCCATTATGAGTTTCTTACACTTTCCTCTGAAGCCTCCGGCACTCACCCAGATGTATTATTGATCTGATCCCGTATTTCTTCTGATTTAGAACAGGGCCTCAGTCATTCCCCTATAGAACAGTCCCAGCATCTAGAACTCGCTCACGCCACATCCTTTCATGTGGTCCCAGCTCCTGTCCCTTGTAATCCCAGCCACATATAGCTTCCTTTATGGCCTCACCCCAGCAGCCCCTTGCCCTGATGGCCCCCCCCCCCCTCCCCCCCCCCCCCAGCAGCCCCTGGCCCTGATAAGCCCCACCCCCTCTAGCAGCCCCTGGCCCTGATGGCCCAACCCCCCCTCTTGCCCCTGGCCTCATAAGCCCCCAGCAGCCCCTGATGGTGCAACCCCGCTTTAGCCCCCAGCAGCCCCTGGCCCTGATAGGCCCCACCCCCTCTAGCCCCTGGCTGGGATAGGCCCCGCCCTCCGCGGCCCCGCTGGCCCCGCCCCGTCAGGAACTTCTCCTTGCGGCCCCGGCCTCTCCATCCGCTTCTCTTGGCCGCCCTTGCTCAGCCCGGCCAAACGGGCCAATGGCCGCGCTGCGCCGGAGCCCCGCTCAGCCAATGGCCGCGCGCGCGCCGGCGCCGGCGCTGGCCCAATGAGCGCCGCGCGTGCTGGGCGCTGCCAGCCAATGAGTCTGTGCAGCGGCGCGGCGCGGGCCCGGCTCAGGCATATCCCTCCGCCCGCGCGGCTGCCCGGGCCCTTCCCCCCGCTCCGCCTAGTCGGTGCGCGCGCTCCCCCACCCGCGCGGCCCTTTCTCCCTCCGCCGCCGCCCGCCACAGCCGCCGCCGCCCGCCCCGGGGTCCCCCACGCACCAGGAGCCGAGAGCGCGAGCGAGCGGGACCCCACCCCGTGCCGCCGCCGCCGCCATGGAGCTCATCACGATCCTGGAGAAGACGGTCTCGCCGGGTAGGGGCCAGCACGTGGGGGAGGGACGGGGAGCGGAGGGCGGCAGCCGCCAGGCCCGGGGAGGGCGCGGCCGGGCCTGAGGGGGAGGCCGGGCCTGGCGGCGGGAGGCCAGGCCCGGGCGGGCGGGAGCCCGGGCGTGGGGCCTGCCCCGGCGCGGGGAGCGGGGCGGCTGAGGGGGGCGAGGCCGGCCCTGCAGCGGGGATTGGGGAGGGCGGGGCCGGGCGCTGGCTGAGGCCGGCCGGAGGCGCTAGGCCGCGGGGAGCCCGTTGGCCCCGCTCCGGGCCCGGGGGGAGGGGCGCGGCCCCGGCCCCGGGCAGTGACTGACTCCGGCTCCCCCTCCCCGCAGACCGCTCCGAGCTGGAGGCGGCGCAGAAGTTCCTGGAGCAGGCGGCGATCGAGAACCTGGTGAGCGCCCCGGGCGGCGGGGAGCAGCGGGGTCGGGCGGGCGGGCGGGGAGCGCCCCGCCCTGCCCCCGCGCAGGCCGAACCGCCATCAAGGGCGCAGCCCAACTTGCCGGCTCCCAGCCGGGGCGGCGGCCGGCCAATCGTGACGCGCCCGGGAGCCGCGCCGGCCAATGGGGGCGCGGAGCCGGGCCGGGAGGGGGGGGCGGGAGGGGAGCGCGTTAGGCTGCGCGGCGCTGCGTGTGCTGCGATGGGGCCTGCGGACCATGTGGGGAGACCGGGGTGCGCCCGGGAGAGGCCCCGTAGCTGGGAGAGGCCCCCCAGGGCCACTGGCCCTTCTCTTCCCCTCTGCAGAACCTGATCCTGCATCCTGCCCCCTTTATCTTGTGCCTGCCATGCTGGGCCTTTACCCTTCTCTGCCTGCTCTCAATCCCCCCATTGCTCCCATAGGCCGGTCCATTCCTTCTTCACTTTGCCAGGCCTTCTGGTTGTCTCATTCTTGCTTTCCTCTTCCAGTGTCTGGATCCTATTTACCTTTCACGCTAGTCCCCTTTTTACTCTTAAAAGGACCTTCACTCTCTTCTCTACTAGGGGCTTCTCCCCTCACTCCCCCCACTTGTCTGTGGCCTAGATGAGGTTGAGGTAGAGGATGAAGGTGTTACCAGTGTTGGGAGCCCTGTGGTCCACTGCCCTGGGTGGAGTTAGAGCAGATTTAGAATGTGTTTAAGGGAAATGAAAGGCTGGGGGGGTCACTTTGTTCCAGAGGGAAAGGGTACTCAAAAATCTGCACATGACACACTTTCATTAACGTGTTATGAACTCTTAGCATCGTCCACACGTGCACATACTAAAATCAAGGGGGGATTGAGTTAAAAATATGTCCTACCATTAATGTATGTTGTCTGTGTAATCGAGGCACAACATTACAACTATTACACTAAAATAAGGGTCTATGGGTCTGATTCTTAGAATTGCTATTCTGCTTTCATCCTTGAGGCAATCTTTGGTTCTTTGTGTGAGTGATTAAAAATGGGTGAATTATTGCATTCCTCTTTGCTACTGTGAAGGTTAGTTGTCACCGACTTGTCTGATGGATTGGAGGTAATAATTGGGTGTTTAATTTTTTGGCAACCATATACATTCTTTCCTCTCCACCAACATAAATTGACAACCTATGCGGGTTACTTCTATATAATTTAATGTTAAAGGTTTGTGAAACCCGGTAATCAAAGTTGCTTACAGTTGGGCTTACAGTTTTATATTAGCTCCAATTCTCTGGCTAACTGTTTAATGAATCATAGCCCTCCACTGAAACACAAGTTTTTTTCTGCCTTTATTTTAGGACTCTTGCTGAGTCTTCCTGCAATGCTTGTGTGTGTGGAAGCTGTGAGAACGGGTACACTACAATTGGGTTTTGGTCTGTAGTCTAGAAAAATTAAATAAATTCTAAATTAGAATTGTGAGTTTGGGCCTAGAATGAATAACGCTATTGTCAGTAGCTTTAAAAACAAAAAACACCTAACCATTTGAGGGAGGCAGGTGTGAGAATAAATAACTGGTGACTGCTGGCTACTCTTATTTGTAGTGGATTTTCCTTGCATAGTCTTCATCAAATGTATGGCATTTTGGGAGTTGAGCCCACTGTTTCCCCTCAAGGGATGTGTATGTCCTTGCAACATTTTCATTTTCTATCCCAAAAACATCCCTTTCCTGAAAGCTTTCCCCATTTTTAATTTAATCCAGCCTTGCAAAATTTTGTGTCTCAAATATGAATACATTTTTTGATGGATAAGTAAAATTAGCTTTTTCATTATGGTAAAAAGTGAACAAGTTGTTTTTTTTCGTCTGGGGCATTGCATTTTTCAGGACATTTTTGCAAGACTGATTTAGCTTAAAATGGTGGGTTTAAACTATATATTGTTTACAAACTCTGCAGTTCGGGTGTTAAAACAGATTATTTGATAGCTTTATTTAACTTTTTTAGGTGATGTTTTGGACCATGGAGAACACAAGTTCTGTCCTCAATACCGCCTTAAAAATTGTTGCCTAGCTACTTTTAGGTAGTCTTTCTTAGGCCCTGGTTTCCAATAGAAATTTTATTTGCATTAACTACGAGTGCAGTTGCACCAGTTTAAAAGATTGGTTAAATGCTAGTATAAAGCAGGCAAAACCGTTTCAGGAAGACTTGTTTCCACCATGTCTGAATCACTTTTGTATGAATTGATATTGAAACCAGTGCAGCTGCATCGAAAAACACACACACAATTTTTAGTGGAGACCAGGCTTCGGTCAGTCTTGGCACAAGAGCTGCACTAGTGGAGCTCTTTCTCCATACCACACAAAGCAAAAATGTATCAAATGTCAAGCTGCCAAATTGCGAATAGTCTGAGTACTAAGGACTTTTTCACTAGTTGTTACCAAAACCGAACAGTACAAATGCAGGTTTTGATAAACGTACGTGAAATAGCCCTGCATAAATAATCTTTGACGTCAGAGCAATCATGTAATAAACTTGCTCTTACAGAAATATTTTTACTGTATATAAAGCCCCTGATTTGAGCTTTTAAAAGCATTAAAAAATTCCAAAAGGAAACTGGCTTTGGTGCTCCCCTTGGAAAAAAGAATTATTATTTTTTATTCGATGGGACATTTAAATTCATGTTAATTTTAAAAACCACAGACAATCTTGGATGATATAGGCCTTGGAATAGGACCTGAGTGCTTTATTTAAAGGAATACTTTAAACAGACAGTAGGATCGTGGAAGGTAACTGAGTGTCTGAAGTAATCTGAAAAAATCCAACATCTAGGTACGTTGCTTTTCAGTAGTTAAAATTAGGATCTTAACGTTCATAATCTTGGGATAAAACACAGTCGTATGGTAGCAGCAGTATGCTATTGGTCAGATACTGTATAAACTGTCCAAAGAGTTTTGCTCTTTTTTGGTTGGGTAAAAGTTTAATTCTCTTCCATTAGAAAAACCTAATGGATCAGATTCTGATTAAGAGCAGATTAGAGAAGTATGTGTTTGTATCCATTGATAAGCATGTTTTCTTCTGACCCAGCCCACTTTCCTTGTGGAACTGTCCAGAGTGCTGGCAAATCCAGGGAACAGCCAGGTTGCCAGAGTTGCAGCTGGTTTACAGATCAAGAACTCTTTGACGTCTAAGGACCCAGATATCAAGGCCCAGTACCAACAGAGATGGCTTGCAATCGATGCCAATGCCCGCAGGGAAGTCAAGAACTATGTAAGTAACTTCTGTACTTCAATGAATTCCATTTTTGTCCATTCACTTCTAAACGGCTTATCATTTTTCCCACAGTATGGCTGAGTAATGAACATTTGATCTATTTCTCACTGTTTGAAAAATCATTGCGTTTCTTGCTATTATGGAACAATGAACCTCATTTGTACTTAATACTTTATGTTGCGGTAGCACCTTTAATCTGAGGAGCTGTTTCATAAGCATTAAATTGCAGAACACACCTGAGAGATAGCTAAAGGATGGAAGAGGGAACAAGTTCACCAACTCTGTAATGCAGCTATCTCTGGGGTAGAACACAGCATTGTGGGTTTTTTTAATTTCTCAGAAATTGAGGTCTAGGGCTGTGTTGCTTTAGTTCAGGGTTTTTCAAACTGATATGTGTACCCCTGGGGGTACATGAGACCTCTCTGGATGGGTACGTGGGAGAAATTGTGTAATGGTGAATTTTATTTATTATTTATTGCATTTTCATAATAGGCTACTCAGATGAAGCTTTAAAACTCTGGGGGAATTTGTGTTCTAAAATACGGTAGTTAATTTTTTTCAAGATATACCAATGAGAACACAGACACTGACGTACAGAGCCCTCACCTCCAAACACTGTACACCATGGGTTCATTTGCCCAGCAACTGTCCAGTCTAACTGAGCTCGGAACTTAGTCAAGGGTTGTTGGTTTTTTTTCAGTTGTATATGTCGCACTATAACTATATCTGTATGTAACTGAACTATGGGCAAATGGCTAAAGAACAGGTAGTGTTAGGAAGAACACCCAATGTATCAGTGATGAGAATGGTGCGGGGTATGTGGGCATCTGGTAGATCTGGAACAGGGTATGCAATAAGAACCTCTACTTTAGTTATTCCCCTCAAATGCTTGCAGCCTGGTAAGTACTCTTCCAGCAATGATGAGATTGGGATGTGTAAAAAATGTGACAAATGTCTACTTCTGATGCTTAAATAAGCAATGTAGGACAGTGCTTAGGGAAGAATAATATGTCCAGCACCCGTTAAGATAATGTTAGAGGGTAGGTTTTTCCACCTCTGTTCTGCTACTAGTTTTTCTCTTCCTTACCATGAAAAGAAGTGGGATTTGCTATTGGAGCATGGTGCTTGAAGGAGGAATTATAGGTGAGGTTTTGGGGCAAAAACTGAGACTGCTTTTGTATTTTGTTAAAGCATTCTTCAGAAGCATATGTATAGCCAGACAGAATGATTTCTGAATGGTGAACTGCAATTCCACACTTTTTGGAGGACATAGTTTTCATCACTAGTAGTTTACAGATGCATTGGGATTTGATTTTTATTCTTCATACTTGAACAGTTTCTTCAATTTTTTTTTTAAACCGTGTTAATTGTCGCATACATTGTGAAATCTCTGAGACAGTGACTGTGTGTGTGTGTGTGCACTGGGCCTAGCACACTGTGGGTGTTTGCAGAATACAGTTAAAAACTATTACCGAAATTCCAGATGCTGAAAGCTACCGCTAAGTTTTGTAAAGATGTGGAGTGTCTTTGTAATCTGTCAAGCTAAAAGCTATGACCTTTGTCAGAGGAGATAGCAAGAGATTTTAGCTGTGCTAGCAAGTGGTTAGCATGAAGAGACATAATGCTGGCCTGGCAATAATGGCTTTCCAACAGATAACTGCTATATTCTTTAATGACAATGGGTTGTGCGCTCTCAACCAGAGAGTCCTTTGTGCTGGTTATCTTTTTGACTTTTGAAGATGTATGTGCACTTGGATCTACGCAGAACTTTATAATGGGTACATTCTGGGTGCAAATGGACTACCCGTTCTGCATAATCATTTGTCTGGGATTATTGGTGTCTTTGAATGTTTAACACTTACACAGTATTCTCCAGAGTAAGGTTGGATGATTAGATATTGTGTAAAAAGCAACAGAGGGTCCTGTGGCATAAGCTTTCGTGGGTAAGAACCTCACTTCTTCAGATGCAAGAAGTGAGGTTCTTACCCACGAAAGCTTATGCTCCCAATACTTCTGTTAGTCTTAAAGGTATCATAGGAACCTTTGTTGCTTTTTACAGATTCAGACTAACACAGCTACCACTCTGATACTAGATATTGTGTGATAATTTAACTTTTTTCAGTTATTCATTCCAATGGGGAAAAGAAGGGGTAATGCTGTTTTGATGTTTTTTACTTCAATTGACAAATGTGTGACAGGAAATTTAGTAGTTTTTGGTAACAGTATGATTACAGAATAACAGATCCCTAGTTTAGGAGCTGCAGTGTTGTAGTATGTTGCAGAAAACTCATTAGTTTCATTTGCCTTTAATACTATCCCTCCAAATAATTAAAGTAATCATCCTTTACTCATTGTCATTGGATCATTTGGTGCAAGTGATCTACTGAGAGAACTTTTTGATTTAAGATTCCTGATGACTAGCTCTTTCTTGAAAACTTTGAGCATTTTCTTATTTGCACTACCCCTTTTCCTGTTTAGAGGTTAAGTGGGAGTTGTGACAGATATGGCAATTTGCTGCAATATCTTTGGGAGATCTTATTGAACTAAATTTAAATATCTTTGGAGTCCATTGTATTATGAATGAAAAGTGTATATATTATTGTGGGATTATATGTGACTTCTCTGGGGGGGAGACTTGGCCAATGTAAAACCTGGGAAGTTTCAAAGTACTGTTTTAAACAATATGCCAGATAAGAAGGAACTTGGGGACAAACAAAATTAAATGGGTTTCCTAGGAGACACCTGGACTGGGTGGGGAAGGGGTGAATGCAAGTTCCCACCTCCAGACCCAACCTTTTGAAGCTACACCCTGAAGAGAGAACCATTGTCTGACTGATTACATGTTCATGGTCTCTAAAGATCAAAGACCCAAGCTGTATATTAAAAAAAGAGACGGACTTGTCATGAATGTGCTTGTTCTGGGCTAAAAGCGGGTATGAACTTGTAACCACAAGGAAAAAAAAACACAGTGATAAGATTTAAAGGGCTGGTTGCCTGCCAGATCCCGTGTTGGAGTTGGGGGGGGGGGGTCATTTCTGGTAAGCTTATTAGCGTGCATGTGGGGATTTATTGTTTTTAATGTCTTTTCTCTAATGCTTTCACTGTAAGAATAAATGTACTTGCTTAGAAAGGGCTGTGTGGTAACTTAAAACTGGGCAATTACAAAGCCTTTGGAGAGAGAGCAACGTGCAGATGCTGACCACTTAAGGCAGATTGGTTTGCTGGGAAACTCAGTTTAGAATGGGGACTGTGCAGCATGGAAAAACACTGGTCAGGATGGAGAGAGATGCCTCTCCATCCAAGAGAGGTGATGGCTGGGAGCCAAAAACCTAATAGTGGATGCCTGTGCTGGATCACAAAGGGGGAATACTTGTGCAGTTGACCTAAACAGTGACGGGAGAGTATTGACCAATTACTACTGTCTATCAGTGGCCTAATGTGAAATGAGTTGGTGTATCCGTCCCATTCCCATCATTAAATCACTTCCACTTTTGGCTCCAACTGGTATTGTGAATACCAAACATTGAATGGCCATGGAAGCTTTTCCCCTTGTTCCTAAAGGTCAACTAAGACAGTAGTGCTAGGTAGCTTGGGAGAACCTTGCAATACCACCAACAGTGCTGTACCTATTGTATGGATAAATGAAAGATCTAAATATCCAAGGCTGAGTGTTCTGCAATTACTAAAATTCTTTAAAAATAAAAAAAATGGAAGTTATTTGCTGAAGTGGAGAGTACAAAATGTCTTTGCTGCTGAGCAAAGACTAGAAAGACTGTTCAGCAAGTCAACCAGTTAGAATAAACAGGTTTAATTTGTGCCATACTACTCTGCCAGAAGCAGTTCAATGCTTCCTCTTGGGACACTTTGACTTAGAGATTCAACTATAATAGAAATTTAAAATGTTATTCACCCCCACTCAAAGATCATCTTCTCATAAGCTGTCCAGTTATATTTTTGATTGGGAACACCATTTATCCATTTTTTTTGTGATTAATTTTTATTCGTTTTCATAATAAAAAAATACAAAGAAATAAATGACTCTCAGCATGTATATGTTTACCAAATGCTGCCCATTTCACAGGATATCCAATACAGTTATGCAACTTTATAACTCATCAAAGCTGCAAGACCAGGCAATAGAGAATCGGACAATATTACACAGGCATAACATGTTAGGGTGGGGGGAGTAACAATTTTAAAAAACGTACATACACAGGCAAAACAAGGAAGGAGAGGGTGGAGGGGTGGAAAGAGGGAGGGGGAAAAGCAGAGAGGTCAGGTGGAATGGAAGTTAAGCATTGTTTGAGCCATTTCAACATTCTTTGTCAAGTGTATCAAGAAATAGGGTCCAAATTACTTGAAATTCATGTAATTCTTCTCTAAGTTGAAAAGCTTTCTTTTGCGGATAATTTTTCTGATTTATAATCTTATAGCAGAGAAAGGGGAATTGTTCCCTTCATGGTTCACTGTATATGGGCACTCTTCACAGAATGTGAAGGGTGCCTTAGAGAAATGTATTTAATCATGCAGACAAATCCTGCTGCCTGGAGGGGGTAAACCACGACCCTGTCAATATAGGGGCAAACTCATTTCAGTTGCTGGGGTTAAATGCTTGTTTGTAGAGGGAAAGGCAGAAAATCTACCTGTTTTAATCCATGTTTGCGGGTAAAAATAAAATTGATCAGCTAACTCATGCTAGTTACATTTGCTATACTCTCTCTCTTCCCCCCTTCTCCTCCCTATCAAGTAGAGAACTTAGATTCCAATCTTCCTATATTGGGTCACTGATATCAAATAATCAAAGTGTGTAGACTAGTGAAATTGGTTTGGAAAAGTCTGACTAAATTGCTGATGTTTTCTCAACAGGTTTTGCAGACATTGGGTACGGAAACATACAGGCCCAGCTCAGCCTCACAGTGTGTGGCTGGCATTGCCTGTGCCGAGATTCCCATGAACCAGTGGCCTGAACTCATTCCTCAGCTGGTAGCTAATGTTACAAATCAACACAGCACTGAGCACATGAAAGAGTCAACGTTGGAGGCAATTGGTTACATCTGTCAGGATATTGTAAGTGCCTTCTCTTGAATATATGCTATGCAGTGTCCTCTTTTCTCCCTTCTAAACTTGTTTTCTCTAGACAACCCCTCTAGGCTGTTTTGTTGCCTGCGGGTTGAGGATGTCTATACTAAGAGTTAGGCAGCAGAATGATTCCCCACAGAATCCACGGATGAGACCAAAGTGCAAAGAGTGGCATCTGAAGGAAGAATTGACCTGGTTTCGCAACATAAATCCAGGTCATCTTTACTAAAGTGCAGATTTAATCATGGAGTGTGAATGGTGTTCAGCCTATGGAGATGGGTACCATTTTAAGAACCCAGATAAATGTCCTGATGAGTCCAATGATTACAACTAAGTGGTAAATGCTTACTGAGGTTGTCTCGGGGGACTCTAAAGTCTAAATTATTTCATTATATCATGGGCTGGGCTAGGTATCCTCTATATATTGACACACACATTTTGCTCTATACAGCACCTTCCAGCTAAGGACCTTAAGAAAACAGTGGTCACAATTTTTATAGACGACTTGTTTTTAGTATCAAACTGTGTTGTGTATATAGGACAAGTGGCTGATCTGAACTGCACTTAAAAACCCTGTGTTCTGACCTAAGGCTGAAAACAAAAACTGGCTTCCTGCCTGTTTCTGTGTAAATGCCATTGAATGGTTATTTTGCCCCTTATTACACTTTGGAAAGCGTACAGATGTGCTCCTTCTGAAGTGTACAGTGCAGTACATCTAGTTCATCAGACAGAGAAGTTTATAAAAGCAATGGTCTAGATAGGCAAGTTTTCTGTGTAATGGCTTTCACAAGGAAAGCAAGAGGGTCCGCTTTCACTTTTCAATCTATGGTCAAACATCTTGTCAGTCAGTGTGTAATAGGATAAACATGTTTTCCCCTTCTGCTATTCGTGCAGCAAGTGGGATATTTTAGGTGGTGTCCCTTTTACAGGAGAAAGGATGGAATATTGGAATCAAAGTTTGGGAAGCTTCCGTGGTAGATGCAGAGGTCTGAAGAACGTGTAATGACTGCAGAAGGCGGGTCCCCTCCTTGAAGAGCAGAGAGACAGGGAGCAGGCAGTGAGGGAAGCCTCATAGGGTAAAATGAAGAAACAGTATCAGAAGTGTCAGTGAGGACAGGGAGTGGAAGAAACCAACAAAAATAAGGCAGGAGGAGAGACCAGAGGAAAAACAGATTTTGAAAGCGACCTGAAAAGATAAGTGTGCCTCTTGCTGCACTGAGTGTCTGAAGGGTTTGAATTGCTGCCTGACTGATTTGAATTGAAAACTAAAAATTTTGTCAGTAATAAGTTCTGGGGCAAGTAAACAGGCTTGGGAGGGAAAATACTGGTACTCAGATACATAAAATAAAGAGGTGATTCAAAGTTGCAATCACTACTACTAGAATAGGGGGGCTTCAGGTCAACCATCGTCAGTTACAAATACACCCGGGATTTCTAAGTGCATGTCAGCCGTTTGTCTGGAAGACAGCAAGTAATTAAGCATCACTAATCCATAGTGGATTTTTTTGATTGTCCTGGGTTGCTGAACAGAATTTTTCCCTTTTACACTGCTTTGTATTGTGCCTCAATGTGATATTGATAAATCCTAACACAATAGTTTAGGGGCCCTTGGGACTTTGCATTCCAGATACTCATTTTTTCCTGTGGTATAGGTGGTGGTGTTCTGTATTCATCATTTAGTCCCTCCAACCCTGAATGATTAACCTCTACTACCTCTTTTGGTTATAGCTGTCCTTCCTTGCTACTGATCCTTGCATGATCCACTGGCAGTATACCAAACGTGGGCCTATTAGTGACACAGTGGTAGGGCTATGACCACTGATATATGCCTCTCTGCTCAAATGGTAATAGAGTGGAAATTGGTGGCAGTTTGACCTCACTATAACATAGCTGAATGAGGCAGTCTGAGGCTTGCTGACTTGAAGCACAGTGGTAATATTTAATTTTTATTTTTAATATTTGGCACTTGTGATTTAAACTCTGGAATGTATTTGTTGTTGAGGTGCAGTAGACTGCCCTCTTTAAGGATGCACTGCCTTGGTGTCACAGTGAGGTGTTAAGTTGCTCATATTTGACCCCTGGTGTTTCTTGTGAACAAAAGACCTTTTGGCCTTAAAGGATTTGAATTTCCTCTGCCTGTAGAATTCATTGCCAAACCGTATGGGGGGGGGGGACTTGATACGTAAGGGAGCAGGCACCTGAAAAGCGGAGATGCAATCTGCAAGCCATCAGATAACTTCACCACTATTTATTCCTTGTTTCAGGATCCAGAGCAGCTTCAGGACAAATCCAATGAAATTCTCACAGCCATTATCCAAGGGATGCGAAAGGAGGAACCCAGTAACAATGTGAAGCTAGCAGCTACTAATGCACTCTTGAACTCTTTGGAATTCACCAAAGCAAACTTTGACAAAGAGGTGAGTAAAGGAAGCAACCGAATTCTGGGTGCGAAAGGGAAGGAGTGAATCCATGGTCTATGATGAGAAATCATGCACCACGCTGAATTTTGCTTGATGCATAATTCCATTGGAGCTGAGACTTGGGTTCACGTCTGTACAATTAAAGTTTTAAAGTCTGCTGTGGTGCAGAAATACTGGGGAAGTGTTTGGAGAAGACCTAAAAAGAAAAGGGAGCATCATGGACTTTTTTGGTGAAATATGAACTGAATTTAGGGTTTAGCCTGTTATACGCTCTGTGTCCTAATCAAACTCTTCTCTCTGCAATGTTGTTGTAGTAGCCTAAGGGCAAGTCTATACTACAGAATTCAGTCAACCTAAGCTACGTCGACATATAGCCATCACAGTAGTTATATTGCTTTTGCATGTTCACACTGTGCTCGTTGTGTCGACTGCATATCCTCACTAGGGGCGCTTCCACCAGTTTAACTGCCAGGGTGGAGCATTGTGGGACGGCATCTGAAGGGCAGGAACAGTCAATGTAAGCAACAGAGTGTCTATGCTGACACGGTGTTGACCGAACTACATCCGCTAAAGCACTACACCTCGCACGGATGTGGAGTTAAGTCGGTGTAGTGAGCAAGTTTTATCGGTGAGAGCTACATCTTCATGTAGACGCTTACAGAGGTCGACATAAGATGCTTTACATCTACCTAACTCTATAGTGTAGACCAGGGCTAAGCATGGATCAGCACTTCCTTTCTAGTGGTGTGGCAGCAATCTAGTTTTTGACTCTACCTCTGAAATTGTGTGTGGGGGACATTTAAAATCTACAAGGGCATTAAAGTAGGGACCTCTGCTGGCATTCTGAGTTCAGAACCCCCCTCATGTTCCTACCATAGAGATTTCATGGAAAATGGAACTAGTAATTAAACTTTTATCTTGGGATGCTTTCTTAATAAAAACCTTTCCCGAGTCAACCATTCAGCTGTTGTTGATTTCCATCGATGCCTTAACGTTTGATGAGCTGGTTGAGCGTAATCCATTCAGATTGCATTTGTAGTGGACTTCTGCCCTCTAAATGGGCCTGGGAGTAGTAAATAGAATGTTAAATTACTATATTCCCTGTCTCCTCTTAACACCTCCCAGAAAATTAGTGTCCCAGCTAAATCCGCTTTTGACACATTTTGTAATAATTGCTGAAATAATCTAGGAGACAATAGCTTTTTAAAAAAAAAAAAAAAAAAAACTTGCTTTCCCTAGTGCTGTGACCATATTTTTTTTTTCCTGATTAGAGCAATGTACCTACTTGCATGTGACATTCAAATTTGGGATTCACAATTGCAGCGGGCTGCTTATCACTTGGAAGTAATTATGAAAACGCTGTGTGGCGAGTGGCTGCCTATATCCTGCCTAGCTCTTGTAGCCATGTCATGTTGGTGGCAGTAATTGCTGAAAAGATCAGGTGCTCTCCGAGTCAAAGAATTAAAATATAATCCCATCGGAAGATTTTTAAATCCTTTTGCATAATACACTTCTAATTCTTTTTCTTTTGCAGTCTGAAAGGCACTTTATTATGCAAGTAGTCTGTGAAGCAACGCAATGTCCAGATACAAGGGTAAGTGATGATATAACATCTTGAACTGTCTGTCGCTGCACCATCCAGTGACCTCTGGAATTTTAAGTGTGTTATATTTAAAGAAATAGTGCTATATGATAGTACTCATTTTAATTGGGCTGTGGAGTAATTTTAATCACTAATAATTTGCATTGATTTTTGCTTCCCTTTGTTTTAGTCATGCTATGTTTAGGCTACAAACATGCTAATATTAAGTATTAGTCCCTGAAAAGAGTGTTGGTGACTGTTGCATGAATTCTGCATCGAGAGTAACATTTTCTTGACGTGCCCAGAAAAATGACACATTTGTTGACCCGCTTCCTTCTCTGACAGGTACGAGTGGCTGCCTTACAGAACTTGGTGAAGATAATGTCCCTTTATTATCAGTATATGGAAACATATATGGGTCCTGCTCTTTTTGCCGTGAGTACTGCAAATCAAAAATGGAATAGTGGCTTAACTCCAGTGTGCTCATGCTTATAAACCGAGGGATAGGAACCAAGAAAATTGCTCCCCTGTGTCTCCCACTCCAACCCCTGCAGTGCAAGAACTGGAGAAGGAAGAGTGGCCTTCCACTCATGTTTCCCCCCACACTCCCCAATCTGAAATCTTTCCTTCCTAGGGTGGCTAGAACCGTTTATACATTACGATAATTTGCAGTTATAGTGGCTTTCCTCCTCAAAGAATGACTCCTTGTACTACGGACATCCTCTCCTGCAATTATATCTATTTAATGATATCATAGTGTTGTGGTGGTCACATTTTACAGACTGAGTTTAGCTCAGTGGTCTCCAAAGTGAGGTGTGCAAGAGGATCCTTGGGGGTGCGCGGCAGGAGGAGCGCCGCTGGAGCAGCGCCACTTCAGCAGTTCGGGCGGCTTTTTTGCGTCAGCAGTTCGGGCGGGAGTCCAAGCGGCCTTTTTTTTGTTTGTTTTGTTTTGTTTTTTGCGTGCTTGGGGCAGCAAAAATGGCAGAGCCGGCCCTGCGGCGCGGCAGGGGGTGCATGCTCAAAAAATTTTTACGGATAGGGGTGCGCGAACAAAATGTTTGGAGACCACTGAGTTAGCTGACATGCACCCAAGGTTTTGTCGTCACTGGCAGAGCTGGGGATATAGCCCTGAACTCCTGATTCTCGGTCCCCCTGCTTTAACTCCAAATGTATGGCAAATAGATTTATTTTTTTTTTTTTTTATCTGAACATAAAAGCATCTCACCTCTTCACAGCAACGGTTGTCAGCTATGTTCATAGCGCCTCTCCCTCTCTGTTAAGTGGATTGTAAAATAACTAATCCCAAACGTAGGTAATCTAAGAAACACTCAGATACTCTTAGAACGGGGGTTCTCAAACTGGGGGTCAGGACCCCTTAGGAAGTCACGAGGTTATTACATGGGGGGGTCGCGAGCTGTCAGCCTTCACCCCAAACCCTACTTTGCCTCCAGCATTTATAATGGTGTTAAATATACAAAAAAGTGTTTTTAATTTATAAGGGGTCTTGCACTCAGAGGCTTGCTGTGTGAAAGGGGTCACCAGTACAAACGTTTGAGAACCACGGTCTTAGAAGTTCCTTATGCTTGCCTCATCCCTTTGCCCAGGATTGGATTTCTGTGTGTTTGTTTAAAGTAGGACTTCCCTGCCATTCCGCCTGTGTGAAGAGGGAATTGGTTTTCTGCCCCTTCCTCATTGGAATTTTTTCCCCCATTTCTTCTGTGTGGCAGTTGCTACTAGAGGATGGTTGGGCACTTAGGTTTTAAAAATTGCATGTTCACAAATCACCTGGCAGTCCTGTAGTCACAGGGGAACTGGCCCTGGCCCTTTTCATTGCCTGTTCTTTTACAGGCTCAGGGCACTAAAGGCTGAGTCGAAATATAAATGTGGTCTCTACGTTAGCTGCCTGGTATGGCTGCGGCTTTGAGTGGATTTTATTTTTTTTTACAGGAGTGCCTGCTTTTCATCTTAAGGTCTATAGCACTGCTCTTCCTGAACAATAAAAACATTTCAAGCTGGATACTTATAGTACCACTATAATGCAGCCACCTCTGGGACAGAGCATTGCCGCTAACTAGCATATATCATTACATAGTGGTGAAGGGGGAAACTTCTGTTCTTACTAAACAGCCATAGAATCTTTAAAATCCAGGCAGAGGACTTAGGATTTTTGATTTAGGTCTCAGTTAAAGAACCACATATTGTAGATGGAACTATATTTTGAAGGGACAGTAAGCCTACCTTAATTTCAGATAAATAATGGAATACACAAAATTCACAAACATCGCCAATATCACTAGATTTTTCCATGTCATAGGTTGCCTTCTGCCTCTACACCACCCTCTTATGTACCACCAAACCTGGGCAATACCTTCATAAGCAAGACATCTTGAATGTGAAAAACAGCAGGTTCCTATGCAAGAATTTCTAACAATATCCTCTCCATCTTCTCTAGTTTTTGGTGTATCTTTTTCGGGGGGGTGGATGTGAGGGAGGTCTCTCTACAAACACCCCTATTCCAATCAAATCCATATAACCAATGACTGGAGTCACATCTGTTAGTGCTTGGTACTGTGAACATTTGTATCTAAGCAGTGTGCATGAGCAATTGGTTGCTATTCTGCAGTTCTTAAAGGCTATTCTCCCTATTGCTCAGTCATACTCTCTTGAAATGTGGAGGTATTGTTTAGCAGCTGTCGCCACTTGGAATTTGTATTGGCATAGCTACATCTCTCCAGAGTGTAGATTTTTTTTTTTACACCCCTGTAAGTCATAGCTATATATACTTAACCCTCAGTGTAAACAGTGCTAGTTGGACGAAAGAAATCTTCTGTTGACTTAGCTACCGTCTCTTGGGGAGGTGGATTACCTATGCCATCAGGGGAACCTTTTCTGCTGGCATAGGTAGGGTCCACACTGTAGTGCTTCAAGTGTAGACAAGCCCTAAGAAAGACGAGCTCTCTCTCAAGCTGCTTCTTGTTTCAGGACGTCTAGGTTCCTGTACCATGCTGCCAATATGTGGCGTCAGAATGACTTTTGCTAAAATGTCCCCTTTTTCTCTCTCTCTCGTGTTTCTGAAGATCACAATCGAAGCAATGAAAAGTGACATTGACGAGGTGGCTCTGCAGGGAATAGAATTCTGGTCAAACGTCTGTGATGAGGAAATGGATCTGGCTATTGAAGCATCTGAGGTGAGCTTGGAATTGGTGTTTGTGGGGATCAGTGTTAGGTGAGTAAAACAAGTAACCATTGTTTCGAACATTGAAAAGGAGGAACTGAACCAGGTCTTGGAAGCTCCTTTGTTTTTCCAAGGTGCGATTTTTTTTTTATTAAAGAGCTGGCTCTGAACCCTTGTGTAGCAGTCCTAGGTCCATGATGAGAGATCATGCACCACTCTGAATATTAAGTGATGCATATCTATTATGGAAGCTGAGACTTGCGGCTGCATGGTATACAAGGCAGTATATTGGCTTCATCCATTTCCGATTGCTGTCTTTACGAAGAGCGATTCAGTAGCAAAACTTCTCATTCACTGGCTAGACTTCTGGATGTCTGTCAAGGGTTTACAAGTAACCTTTTGTATTTGCAAGTATCTCGAGTTTGTTTAGCATCAGTAAAAGCTTTTTCTCAGCTCATTGTTTTTGGCCAATAACTTGCTCTGTCCTTGACACGCTGCCCAAATATTTCTGGGTTTGAGTGCCTTGGAAATATTTACTACAGTCGGAGCACAAGTTGCAGGAGTGTTTCCACTGTAAGTTCCCTATAAGTTGCTTTCGTAAGTTCTCAAAATTTGTATCCATCGGGCTGAAATTCTTCAGGCTCAGTGGCTCTCTTGAGGTAAACATTTTGGGAAAGCTGGAGCAAAATGCTTCTGCTGTTCTGAGATGGGAATAGAACAGGACTTACTTTTTTTAAAATAATGGACAAAAGCGTTCTAGTGCCAGAATGGCTGGGAATTGAAACTCAACAGGGCTAAAGAGATGTCTTTGAATATTCTGATGAAATTAGGTTATGATTTGGGAGTTTTGGTTATTTGAAAACAGCGTTTGTAAAGTGCATATTTTGGGCATGATTTTTAGCATTCTTTTAAAGACAAGTGAGGTCCCATATGTGTGGCTGATATGGCTGCATAGTGAACACACGCATTGGTTTGCACATTACATTGAGCTTTGTGCATAAAGTTCTCAACACCTTGGAAAACTTAGATCTCTTGCCTCATTAAGGCTCATTGGAGCCCTTCCCCGGTCCTTGTACTGAACAGGTCCACGTGAGTATTTTCTTAGGCTGAGTTTCCTTAGCTCTGTGAATAATAATGGTTTCTGTACCATGAGCCAATGACATGACTTAGGAGTTCAGTGATACTGGCACCAGTAGTTTACCTCTAGGAACATTTAAAGGATTACTCTTGCATTGTGTATAATACATGAAATTTATGGCTTGGTTATAAAAAGCAATTGGCTAAAATAAAAGTAGTTCTTATTCTTTAGAGTGGATGGATTGAAAAGGAAAATGGTGTCTTGTTCTTCATGCAGATGTTCTTTCTTTCCAAGAACTGGTAGTGTAAACTTCCTTCTTTAAAGGGAGCTTAAATGTATTTTTCTGCTGAATGCTCAAAATAGCAAGGGTAAAGGGACAGTCGGCACAGAGGTCTAATCTGTATGCTAAGTGCCTCTTACCCTTCCTGTTTGGAGGCATTTAGTAATTGTTTAATTTGTAAATATTTGTAGTTTGTCTTCAGCATGTTTGTGTAATGTGGGGAGTGGCAGCATGCACTTGCGGAATAGCAAACTGAGCATGTGCATCAAACATTTAACTAGAGTAGAATTCAAGGAGTCCTCCTGGGAAAAGAGTTCCAGCTTTTGCTGGTGATCTTACAGCATAAAGTAGATAACTTAAATCACAAACTGAATTAGATTTTTTTCAGAAGGAAAAGTGTTTCTGTGCAGCTATTGAGGATTGTTTTGTAACCTTTCTTTCTAGGCAGCAGAACAAGGAAGGCCTCCAGAGCACACTAGCAAATTTTATGCTAAGGGAGCACTACAGTATCTGGTCCCAATTCTCACACAGACACTAACTAAACAGGTGAGTTGGAGGTTCCTTACTATATGCATTGTCTGGAGTTGTCTCTATGCACCAAGAACCTTACACTTATGGTACCAGCCTTACGTTACACAAGCAACTGCTGGAATGCTGTCAGTCCAACTATGTAGGATAGAATGCCATTAGTTAAATAATGTGGCTCCTGGTCATTGAATCAGTATTCTATTTTCATAGATGATTCACTAATGACCTGGGACTGGAAGATCCTTTAGGCTCTTTATAGAGTTGTGGAAAAGGCATGCTTGTTCTGAACACTTCATGTAGCAGTCCTTGGTCTATGATGAGACATCATGCACCACTCTGACTGAATGATGCATTATTTGTGAAAGCTGAGACTTGGGGCTGCAATGAAGCTGGTTCCAGCCACTTGAGGTGATTTCATTATTGTACAACATTTCATTAAGGCAAGTTTCCCTTTCTGATTACTGAAGGCTTTTGATAGGTTATCATGAGTCTGCAGTATCAGACTGTGTGGTGTTTGTGGAATTAAAAACAGGACATCAAGGTTTTGTTTGCTTCATTTAGAACCCTATTTTTGTTTTGTTTTTTAAACCTTAAATTCTAAGCTCTGAGTACCATCTTTTACCACACTTGTTTGTTTTTATGAGGACTTGTCAGGGGCTAATTTAGACTGTGGAACAAACCATATCCAAACAAAACCGAATGAAATCACTTGCTGTATCAAGTCTAGTTAACATGATATTAAATGACAGTTAAAAAATCCACGTCGTATCAAGTTCCTTTGTTTGCTTTGTCAAGTTGGAGACGCACTAGGAAATGGCTGTAATTTTTAATGGCTGTTATGTTTGAGATTGCTTCCCTATTCCATGTTTTATTGCTAACTGCCTGAATAAATAGTTCAATTACAGGAGGCTGTAAGGTTGTTAAAGAACCAATCAGGAAACATAAGTCATCCTCAGATGTGCACCTTCAAAGGAGTTAGGTTAACAATGGCAGGGCCATCAGCTGGAGGGAGAAGCTACCTAACTGGTTCCATCCAAGCTAGAATGGGTTACTCTTCCAAAGGCTAAGCCTGGGGTCAAAGGAGACCTAAAATCTCAGACCCTAGAAAAGGGGGTGGTGTTGGGTGGTGTAGAAGAGGCTATTGAGGGTGTCATGAACTGCAGCACAGAGAGAAACACTGTGGGTAGGACACACTGCTTCTTCCTGACAGAGATGGAGTTAGCTGGCAAAAGAGAACTTACAAAGGTTTAGGTCAGTGGTTCTTAAACTTTTCTTTTCGTGGACCACTTGAAAATTGCTGAGGGTCTCAGCGGACCACTCAATGATCTTTCCAAATGTTGTTTGTACCGTTAGCTAGCTGTTGTAAAGTGCTTTGGATAAAAGTGCTATATTAAAAAAACCTTAATAATTAACTTGTTTTGTTCTACAATAAAAGCACACAACTCCTATTTTAATATCAGTAGTCTTACCTTTCTAATGCGATGGATGTGCCCTCTCTCTCCCCTGCTGCGGCAGCCCTCAAGCTGGGGCTGGGAAGGAGGGGGGGGGTCTCTTCCCCCGCAGCCCTGGAGCTGGGGAAAGTCACATCTTTGGCTGCCACAGCCCTCCATGTCCCAAATTCCCCCTGCCCCCTCCCACCTACCCCTTATTCACCCAAGACCATCACCTCACCTTACATGTGCATCTTCTCCAGGGTCCAGGCACCTAATTAGTGGAGCCATGCCTGCGTGGCTCCACTAATTAGGTGGGTGGCCCTTCATTCTCTTGTGTGCGGCCGCCCAGGTGCGCACCTTAGAGGAAACTATCTGCGGACCACCACAGTTTGAGAACCTCTGGTGTAGGTAATACCCATGCATGTAGACCTTTTATTGCGTTTACGCTTTGATCTAAATGATTTTATCTTCTGATGAAAGATTAACATTTTGTTTGAAGATGTTGTTTGTGTTCCTGCAAAATTATGCTTTCACGGGCTTCTGAAGGGAAACTCGTACAGCAGCCAAAACAGAGTTAACACGGTTGGGAACCCAGAGGTCCATTCTGAGTGGTTGGACCATGTGGTTCCACCCACAGTAAGATGCCCATCACCTAAAGGGGTGCACTCATGAGAGAATAAAAGGGCTCTAGGGTGCAGTTTGCCCAGTAACTGACATTTACTTTTTTAGGTTTGTTGTGTGGACTGAATTCATGTCAAAACACAGTCAGTACCTGTTCATATTCCTTGTCCTTGGATCCGGCAAGGTAGTTTTATCTGTAAGTGGTAGAAGCAAAGTTCTGGTTGGGAACCGATATTTTTTAGCTAAGAGTGACCCAAGTGTTGTTCTCTTCCCAGGATGAAAACGATGACGACGACGACTGGAATCCCTGCAAAGCAGCTGGCGTTTGCCTCATGCTTCTGGCAACCTGCTGTGAAGATGACATTGTTCCTCATGTGCTGCCCTTCATTAAAGAACACATTAAAAACCCAGATTGGCGATACAGAGATGCAGCTGTCATGGCTTTTGGGTGTATTTTGGAAGGGCCAGAGCCCAACCAGCTCAAACCACTAGTTATTCAGGTCAGACCAAGTTTTTCTTGGAGGTTGGCTTGCTTGAACAAAAATATTTGACTTCATGTAACTACTTTGAGCACTACCCAGGAAGGGAGATCAGAGATCATGGTTGTGTGTAACCCTTCAGTTTTGCTCAGTTGCTGAACAACCTGCAAAGGAGGTTTTTAAGACTGTAAATTTTAGAATTGTAACATGCGGGCGTTTGCATGTATTTGGCAAACTCTTGTGATCAGTTGGAGTAGCTCTCCTTAGAGCAGGAACCCCTGTTTGTGCAGCACATGGAAGGCACACTCAATCCACACAGCTTTGGTTAGTGCAGGCTTTTAACCCTGTGTATGTTAACTCTCACTGTGAGGCATTATGTAGGATCTGAGAATAGGGTTCAGTGCTCCTGGCCTTGTCACTAGGAAATAATTTACTTCATGGCCCTTCTTTACATCCAAAGGTGGCTTCTTAGCTCAGGGGTCCCATTTATTGGTAGACCATGGAATAAATACTCTTAAAAGACATTATGCCCAAACAGCTGCAGGCTTATTGGCATCATGCAAGTGAATTAGGTATGATTCTGACTTATTACTAACTTTGTGGTTCTGTTCTAGGCCATGCCCACTCTAATAGAACTAATGAAAGATCCTAGTGTGGTGGTTCGAGATACGACTGCATGGACTGTGGGCAGGATCTGCGAGCTGCTCCCTGAAGCTGCCATCAATGACATTTACCTCGCTCCGCTGTTGCAGTGTCTCATTGAGGGCCTGAGTGCCGAGCCCAGAGTGGCTTCCAATGTGTGCTGGGTAAGGCAGGACCCCACTGCTATGTCACAATATGGGCTGGGCTTCTACTAACAGGTGTGGGGTTGAAGGATTTACTTACCAATTCTTGTGAGCGCACCTCCTACGTAAACTAGAGGAGTTCAGCAGCCTATGGGGTACTCACTTAAATGATGTGAAGAGATGACTGGCTTGTTCATCCACCACAAGAAACCTTGTGTGAACAAGCCTCAAGTCGGTAGTGCCGCACTCTGGTGGGACAGGAAAAAAGGAAGGGAGCTGATGGGGAGAAAGCTAACTGGAAAGATGCTCAGGAAGGGCACAAGTGTGAAGTTGTCTTCAGTTTGAAAATGCTGGGGAGACTACTCTTCCCTACAAAGACCTAGGGCGGTATGTAACTATATAAAAGAGAGGTCTTCAGATGACTTTTTTAATGCACCCTCTTTTGTATTGTCTAGCCTCCCTTCTCAGGCAGCCAAGGCTGCTCATTCAGCTGAGAGAGAGACCGGATATTTTCTCTCCCTGTTAGCTGAGTATACTGCCTCTGCAGCACTAACTCGAGGAGCATGAGATGCATCTCATTCCCTTGCATACGTTCAAGCTGTGTTATTGCCAAACCACTGGGCTGGTTTGGCAAGTTCAACTTTACCTTCTTTCTAATGCATTTAATATTAGGCAGCTTATCTGAACAAACGTGTAGCGTCCTTGCAAGGAGGAGGCATGCCTCACTGCATTTTAACCAATTAACTACTTCTGCTAGATTGAGAGTCCTTTCGTTCTGTTCCAGCAGAGATGCGTGAGGATTATGATGTTAAATCAAGTGTTAGGAGCTGTATAATTAAAAATTTAATTTTCCTTAGTACATTTTCTCTGCTGGTCCCAGGAGCTTAGGGGCCTCTGGTCAGCCAAGGACTCTTCCTGATCCCATTGACCCTGGCAAAGGCTTGTGTTACTGGGGCATTTTTCTTCTGAAGACGTGAACGAATGTAAATGTTGCAAATGGAAATGAAAATCATAAGGCTTTCACCTTTTCATCTGTTCAGTTCTTTTGTCCTTTAAGGCAGCTGCAGTCACTGCCTGGCCCTGCAGCTGGCAATGTTAGCCTTCTCTCAGGCCTTGTCTAGACTAGGGTTGTAAAGTGAGATGATAGCACAAGTTAGCTAACAGGTGTCAATTCACGTGTTAAAAGCTCATAGAGTCTGGACTGTGTGCCTTTACAGGGTAGGCTATTAACACATCTTATATCCTAGTCTAGACAAGGCCTCAGGCTTCGTTATTGCTTTGAAACTTCACTGTGCTTGGGTAGTTGGCCCTGGGGAGGAAGTCATTAGTCCTGCCCGTGGCATTCTCTGTGGGTGACTTTGATGGCTCCTAGTGTTGGTGCTTGGACTTTCTGCCCCTCACTTGCTAATGGACGATAAACAATGGCAAGTTTTCTTCCTGCTAGTCAGCTTGTTTCATATTGTGAGCTGAATTCTCATTCCGCTGATCCTTTCCTATTGTTTTTGGCGAATGAATTTGGCGCCACATCGCAGTTTCTCCTAAACCATTGATGCTGCCATGGAAATGCATGGGCAGGCTGACCGATTATTACTTTAAATGTGTCACTTGCAATCCCTTAAACTGGCAAGGCCATGTGTGTGGCTGAGGTAGTTTGCTGTTGTGATAAACTCACTCCATTGTAGAAACTGTGATTTGTTCTGTATTTCAGGCCTTCTCTAGTCTGGCTGAAGCTGCCTATGAAGCAGCAGATGTAGCAGATGATCAAGAAGAGCCAGCAACCTACTGTTTATCCTCCTCGTTTGAGCTAATAGTTCAGAAACTCCTGGAGACCACAGACAGGTACTCTCAAACCAGCTGTCCTAATCTTTGCAGAAATGCCCCCCCTTTTTTTTAATCCCCCTGTCCTGCTCCTGTTGCCTCCTAAAACTCTTATGTGAAGTGATGTGTTAAGGGTGTCAATTCGTCATGGCCTAAAATTTGTGTGACTTAGAATATCTAATGTCAGTTCCCAAGAGAAAAGTCATATTCGCACATACAGGGATTTTTCCAGTTTTTGGTGTCATTCATCCTTATTGAGATCTCCGGAGCACCTGTAAATGTATTTTCTCCTCCAGTGCTTTCCTTCAAGTTGTGGAATGCCACGTAAAACTGTGTACGCAATCTGAAACGTACAGAGGTCTGCACAATATTCAGCAATCAATTTGAGATATCCTGTCTGGCCTGAGAGTCACTAAGTAGTCAAGATTGTGGCAAGACAGACTAAAAGTCTCTAGAACTGTGTGTGGTGTGACTTTCATGACTGTAGCTTGCATGTACTCAGTGTATCGTGGTGTAGTTTTTATTTTGATACTACAGTAGCACCTAGAGGCCCCACAGCAGATCACAACCACGTTATGCTAGACGTGATATACACACAGTAGCACTGCCCCTGTCCCCAAACAGCGCACAAAAATAGACAAGACAGCCATTTTGCAGATGGGGAGTAAGGCACAGAGTAAGTGACTTGCCCACGGACAAATAGGGAGTCTGGCTGATCCAGTAATTGAACGTTGATCTTTTGAGTCCTTGCTCTAGTGCTTTAACTACAAGATCAGTCTTTGAGGTGGTCCCTCTAGGGTGGAGGCACATCAGGAGAAAGTGTTGGGAAGTTTTTTCTGAAAGTGCTGCCCCTGCTGTCCATGGCTAAATAAAGGACTTTCAGCATCTTTCATTAACACAGATTAATAAAACCAAACTACCAAAAATTTAGCTTAGATTCAAGCCATGGTAATAGTACAGATATTACAGTACGTATTATAGTACAGATAGATATGTTCAGCTTCTGCTGTAGCATTGAGGTTTAACTTTTACTAATTGGTCAAACGAGGTCTGTATTTAAGCCAGCACGGCCACTTAGAGCAAAAAAAAAAACAAAACAAAAAAACTCTTTTCTTCCTGTTTAGGCCGGATGGACACCAGAATAACCTGCGGAGTGCTGCATATGAAGCTCTGATGGAAATAGTGAAAAACAGTGCCAAGGACTGTTACCCTGCTGTCCAGAAGACGACTTTGGTCATTATGGAGCGGCTGCAGCAAGTGCTGCAGATGGAGGTAGACAGAGGCCAAATTTGCTACCAGGGTCATAGGGCAAATATAATACTCCGCGGCATAATCACTTTGCTGTATTCTGGCTTTAGTCTCTAGCCAAATTAGTTCTTCTGTTGATTGACTATATAGCAAGTCTCTTTTTGAGAAGCTTGAAGTGGAACAAGCAAGTTTAAAGCTGCATTCCTTCTGGTCATAGCACTGCCATTGCTGTGGCATCTTAATGTCCATGATACAACTACAGAGACCTTTTTTCTAAGTGTTAAGAGTCTGTTTTTGTTCTCCTACAGTCCCATATCCAGAGCACATCAGACAGAATCCAGTTCAATGATCTTCAGTCTCTACTATGTGCTACTCTACAGGTAAACCACTTTCTTACCAGTTCTCACATCCATGGAGAGGAAATAGGCAGAATCTTGTGAAAAGAGTGCACGCTTGCAGATGAAATTTTTAAAATGAAATCCGCTCCTTACACCCAAGTTAGTGTGAAAGGAGCAGAGGAGTTTAAACATATGAAAGGATGGAGCCTTCCACAACTAAGTGCCCGGTTTAAAAACCAACAAAATACTCTTGTTTTTGTGGAACAGAACACATCTTATCAGCAATATTTAAAGTAAAATATCTGTGCAATTTCACACTGGCTGTCATGTTAGTGTAAGATTGAACAATCACTCACTTTTGTCAACACGCATCAAAGAAATTAACAGCTTTAACTTGTTCACTGCAGCTTGTGGTTGGAGTTCAATACTCATTTAAATTTGCACTGAAATTAAACAACTTGGTAAAGAACACCTCACGTGTTTTGGGAGCATTAGCTCATTCCACTCGCTTGCCTAGTCTTAAAGGCTACTGAAAACTGCCATCCTTTTTCTAAGCCACTCGGGAAATCCATCAGACAGTCTTTCTGATATCACGTGATATCTGGCAGCATAGCTTCCTGCTGTCTGTACTGCAAAAGGGCTGGAGCTACTGTGGGATCGTGCCTACTGTATGTGTTACAGCATTGCTGTAACTTTTCTAAAGTGCAGTTAATACCTCTGTATATTACTGGAAAATATTAGCATATTATAAGCTTTAATGCACTTCTCCAAAATACTTTACAGTAGATGTGGATTCAGCATGCTCCATGCAGGATTCAGAAGCAGACCCTGCTCTCTTCTGTATGGTAACATTCCTAGAGGTGTGTTTGAGCATCACGTACACTGAAATAAAAGCCGTTACTGAACACCCATCTTTATCTGAAACTCACTTTTTCCCCCTGTTTTTGTTGTGTGCTCATTATGGGTTCATGACTTCTCCCATTTCCATTAACGTAAGAGTCTGAAATGATTTAACACCCTCATGTTCAAAATTTAGGAATGTTGTAGAAAACCCTGTTTTATAGCACTGATAGTAAAATGTGTCCTGCCTGTTAATACTGTGGTGTACGTGAAGCATGCAGGGCAACTGGAATTCTTTATCGCTTCATGGGGCTACCAGCAAAATTCAATTACAATCCACAATCAGAAATAAAATTGCTATGAGATTGTTACAATGGGAAATGGGCAGTGTTAAAAAGGGATTGCTTAAGCCTAGCCAAACATAATTCCAGGCATAAATTAAATGCCCAGAGAACAGCCTCTCTAGCAGGAAAGATAAACTCTGCTTGTTCTGTAGCTGGAAAATCAAGGATAGATAAAATGAGAACAGCATTCTGTACTTGTACTGACAAAGCATTTTTTGCAGCAATGGTTTTCAGAGCAATAGTTGATTTTTTTTTTTTTTTTAAAGCATAGCATGGTTTTGATAAAACTAGAGTTCTGAGCTAGTGTGGAAAATTCAAAGGAAGAATTTAGCCTAATGTATATGGGAGTAGTGTATTACAATCTCTTCTTTTTTTTTTTTTTTTTTTTTTTTTTCCCCTTCCCCCAAACCTAGAATGTTCTCCGGAAAGTGCAGCACCAGGATGCTTTGCAGATCTCTGATGTGGTTATGGCATCTCTGTTGAGAATGTTCCAGAGCACGGCTGGATCAGGGGGAGTGCAAGAGGATGCCCTCATGGCAGTCAGCACCCTGGTGGAAGGTCAGTAGTGGCGACTGGAAAAAAAAGTCTTTTGCTTTATTCAGTGCGCAAACAGCTCCGTGTGAACAAATCAGACTTGTAGTTTTGCGATTGGCACTATGTCTATCCCTGACAGCTGCTACTGTTGATGAAGGCTTAACGTATAACCTCCTTTGCTAAGTAGTTGAGTTTACGCAGATGCAAATTTAACTGCATAACTACTCCAGAATAACGCCTCCAGATCTGTGAAGGTTTGAGGCTAGCCGGTCCAACAAATCAGATGACAGCTTGATTCTCCTAGACTGTATTTCTTGTGTGTTTGTTGTTTTCTGTAGATAACATGGGTAGTGTGTGTGCTGACTAGGCAGTATATAGGACTTGCTCTTTATTTTTGTACAGTGCTTAGCACAATGGGTTGCTGGTCTCCAGATGCTATTGCAATGAAAATTAATATTCTGATTTACATTTGCTGCTATCTGTCACCATTGATTTGTGTGATGATGTCAGCGGTTGGTGTATCTTTGTGTCTTTAAAAACCACACAGTGCAGAGACTGAAATTATTTTTTTCGTTGCAAATTTTGATTCTTACTAAAGTTTGGGTTGCAGCATACCAGACAGTTTTAGAGCTTCATTGTGATTCCTCTTTACAATGCTGTTGCTATGGCATGATATTGAGCTCTAGGAATGCATTGTGTTTTCAGACACTGTATGTTTGGATGTGAAAGTTGGGTGCTGTTAGAAATCCATATGTGAGTAGTTGCTTTCTTAGAACAGGTTTGTGACTTTGCCCGGCACCCCCTTTTGGGGGCATAGACGGGGCAAGGAGGCGGGGGGCTTGAATGATTTGTGACTACACTTGAAGTGATCAGTATCCTTTGAGTGGAATCAATGGAATTGATTGGCCGGGTCTGCAAGTGAGGAAGAGGAATGCCTGATTGCTGGGGATTGGTTGTGACCCTGGCTAACGGGCTGACTTGTGAATAAACAGTATGATGCCCTTTTTGGGCAAAGCCATTCTCCTTGCCAGAGGTTAATAGTAACTTGTGGGTTAATTTGTGATAAGGGGCTGGGGGAAGGTAGATATGTAATATAAAAGGAAGCCTTTTCCTTCACCAAATAGTTAAATGTTCTTTAAATACAAGCACCCCAAATATTATTCTACACTTGGGCCCCACAGTTCTTCCATAGCTGAAATAGAAGCTGGACAACTGTTCCGAAAGGAGGATTTTACTATTGTCTCATTTATGCTGTCTCCCACCCCCAATCAACTTTAATCCTACAAAGTAGGACTTCTCAAACTGGTGTAGTGTGACCTGGCGCTGCCCCATGCATCCCCACGCTACTGAACGCTGCGTGGAAAACCCCACCCAGGCTCAGCCATATTTTTTGCCATGATCCCACTTGCACAGTCCTTTGCAGCCACAAAAAACCCCCAGATATGTGTAGTCTGGGTAATTAAAGGCCGAAAACCACTGCTCTAAAGGGTGCTGTGTATATACTGGGGGAACCCAGGTCCTCTGAGGGAACCCTGCAGCCACCTCTGAGCACAGGAAGGATCTGTTCCTTATCTTCAGTGGACTGCATCTCCTACAATTCTCTTGAAGTCCATTTTATTACAAAAGGATGTTTTCCACTGGTGCTCAATTCGTAGTGTAAAATCTAGTGGAGAATCAATTTGTCATGCTGCTGTTGAATGTACATCCTGAGAGCTGCAAAGGACTGAGTTTCCTTGTTGTAGATGTCAGGCAAACATGTAGACTGTCCTGTGGGGATGAGACCTAATCAGAGTGTTTTCTGTGCAGTCTTGGGTGGAGAGTTTCTGAAGTATATGGACGCCTTCAAACCCTTCCTGGGCATTGGACTGAAGAACTATGCAGAATACCAGGTAGGACCTGAACCTGGGAGCCCCACGTTCAGAACTTTTGCATCTGTTGGTAGTTCGGGATTTACAGAGTTCTTCGGGATTGCATCCCCTGAGGCCTATTGGCTTCTGGTGAGGAAGCCAGCATGTGAGCACTGTAGGAACTCAGTAATTACTGGCTGCACTTGTAAATGAATTTATAGACTCTCCTCTATTTAAAATTGTCCACAGCAGGCCGTCATCAGTTTGACACCTGAGGTTCTGCATTGACTGCATATTCAGTGGCATTGATCAGGAGAGAAGTTGCTACTAGGAATGAATTTCCAATAGACCATGCATGCCATGGTATTTACTCTGGTGCTGATCCTTAGAACACCTGGCTGCTGAACTTTTTCAGCATGTCTCTAAAACAAGTATCTGTCACTCGTTGGCATCTGGGACTCTCGCCCCCGATCGGGTAAACTTATTCAGATCTCTTCTTTATGACTTAGCGTTTCAACAGTTAACAAAGCTCTGACTTTCATGGGCATTTGCAGACAAGGGTCACTATTCAGTGATGATTTTAGATCCTGCCTGTCGCAATGCCATAATTTAGTGTGTTAATAGGCTAACGCTGTAAGGACAGGCAGTGTGGGGAATACCAACTTATACTGGGTTGGTGCATACTTACTGTTCTCTTTGTAGGTTTGTCTGGCTGCAGTAGGCCTAGTTGGAGACTTATGTAGAGCCCTGCAGTCCAACATCTTGCCTTTCTGCGACGAGGTTATGCAGCTGCTCTTGGAGAACTTGGGGGTAAGTCCTTACCTACTTTTAGCCAGTTAAGCAAACTAGCTATTAGTGGCGATAAAGGAAAGTGAGAGGCAGAGAGGGTATTGGGAGAAGTTAGAGATGTTTGAAAAAGGTTATATCAGGAGACGCAAGCAATATATAGCTAGCTAACATGATAATTTGAAGAGAACTCGGGTGTCCTCTGGGGGGGAGGAGATTTAAGTTTCCAGTCATTGATCTTCATTTCCAATCTCTCTCTCTCTCTTTCTCAGAATGAGAATGTCCATAGGTCTGTGAAGCCTCAGATTCTCTCTGTGTTTGGTGATATTGCCCTGGCCATCGGAGGAGAGTTTAAAAAATATCTAGAGGTTGTATTGAATACTCTCCAGCAGGCCTCGCAAGCCCAGGTCGATAAGGTAAACCAGCAGCGCACTTGGCAGCTCCTTCTCATCCAGCGTGAAATACGTCTGTCTTAGTTGCTTGCCAAAGGCCATTGTACAGGCATGTTCTTTGTTTTCCATCTAGTCTGACTATGACATGGTGGACTACCTGAATGAGCTGAGGGAGGGCTGTCTGGAAGCTTACACTGGCATCATTCAGGGACTGAAGGGAGACCAAGAAAATGTGCATCGTGAGTATTTTGTCCTGTAGCACCCTGTCTTTAGGGAAGGGGGACCTTTTTTTAAAGGTATGCTGTAACTTAAGCCTGCTACACTAAACCAGTCATTTCCTTTCAGCGGATGTGATGCTGGTGCAGCCCAGAGTAGAATTTATTCTGTCTTTCATCGACCACATTGCTGGAGATGAGGATCACACAGATGGAGTAGTAGCTTGTGCTGCTGGGCTGATAGGGTAAGCGTTCCAGACTCCTTTGGCTAGAGGATAAGTGACCGCACACTCGCCAGGTAGCTTATTGTTAGTACAGTAAACACAATACATTACAAGAAGTGCTTTTTTTTTAAGGTTATCTGCTTGAATTGGAAATGGTTCTTGAGAGACCGGAGCCTGTAAAGGGACTTATTTGAATCTTCCTTCATGTATCTGAAGTACTAACCACAGAATCTTGAGTTTAGGATTTTTGTAACTCATTGTTGGGTTCTAACCCAGGAACAGGCGTGAAACTGGAGGACTGTGCAGAGTGGTGGTTCCTCATCACGAGCTGTGTACCAGCCCTGGTGGGTGGCCTATTTGCTCCCTGTCAATCATTGCCATGAAGGGACAAATTGCATATGCTTAAAAGGAGTCGGGGACAATGATCTTAAAGGAAGGCTCCATACAATGAAATTTTCAGCTTGTGAATTGACAGTGAAGGGCCCAGTTCAGCTGTCATTGAAGTCAATGGGAGTCTTCTCTCTTGACTTCAATGGGAGCTAGATGGAACTTTCAGGGAGGACATCCTTTGGACAGGAGACATGGATGTTTCCAGCTAATAGCCGTTTAGGAGGCTGTTTGGCTCTCATGTTGCTGACCATATGCAACATTTAAAAAGGGACATTAGCTGGGAGTCGGTCTTCTCTTGTTGCTAGCAAAAGCTGATCTAACTGGCATGTTTCTGGCTGTGGCATTCAACAAGCATTAAAGCCCATTCTCTCCTCTTTGTTTCCCACAGGGATTTGTGTACAGCATTTGGAAAGGATGTACTGAAATTAGTAGAAGCTAGACCCATGATACATGAACTTCTAACTGAAGGAAGAAGATCCAAGACAAACAAAACAAAAACCCTTGCTACCTGGGCAACTAAAGAACTGAGAAAACTGAAGAATCAAGCTTGGTAAGGAGCCTTCTCCCTTTCCCTCGTATTGTGGAATGGCCACACAGGTTAAACTTCTAAGCTCAGGCCCATTGAAGGAGACACTTCACAGAAGCCTCGTGCTATAAAAAGGCTTTTCCTTGTTTAGCTTTCTGTAAACTATCCATTTAAAGCTATAAAGCCCAGATGGCAACTGCTTGTTCCTAGAGAAAAGAACTAATGCTTGACAGTAACAAATCTAGAGTAAGGTCCTCTCCACGCTGGAATCAGAACTATGCTGCCATAGCTGCTAATGAGTTCTAGTGGGTTCCAGCATGCTTTCTCTGGGTCACATGGGCATGGATTTTTCTGAGGTTTAGTGGTTAGTTGGTTGTAGCTAGTAAAATTTAGACCCCCCAGTATGAGTAAGGGCTTTTAAAAGGAACAGAGTGGGGAACAGCTTTCCTGTGCACTGTGGGATATTGTGATTCCTGAACTTGGAATTCACGGAATGACGGCCCCTTCTGGTTTTGCGAAGATGCTTTTTCCTCGGCCTCTTGTAAGTGGCCTCACATTGGCTCCAAAGAGGGGCTTTTTTAAATTTCTACACCTGTCCCTCTTTGATTGCAGATCTGTTACCATTGGGATGACACCCGAGACCCCCACTGGAAATCTCCACTCTTTTGAAAAAACCCGGAAGTGAGGAGTGTGCACGGATGCTGAATGTTTGGGAATGAGAGGATGAGTGAGTGAGGCTTGAAACACACCACATTGAAAATCCCGGCACAGCAACAACAGCAGCAGCGCTGTTAGTGAGCTGAGCACTGACTTGCGTAGAAAACCTGACATCGGCCGTCTTCAGGAAGAGGGAACGACTGGTTTCTATCAAAAATAAGCAGTCTCTTCTTCCGACAGAGACTAGAACTAGCTTTTCTGTCTTTTGGCCAGTGCGAAGCGGAATGACTAGTTTGGGAGAGAGGAAACTAGGTTCACCTGTGGTGCTCTTTGTTTGAGGTCTGGCTTTTGCTGCTGAAGAGAGATGGAGTCTGGGTCTCTGGCCCGCCTTCTGTAACCTTTGCCACACAATGCTGTCAGTGCATGGGATAAAAGGAGGGGTGAAGGATTTTCAGTCTAAGAGTGAGTGTGTGTGAATGAGGCGGTATCCACATTCTCAACTTCAAGTCATTGCAGTTTATCTTTTCCCAAAAAAGGGTTAGCAGTTGCATTTCATAAACTAACCGAAGTTCAGTCTACTGATGCAGCATAAGAGATGTAAAAAGAAAAGAGAAAAAAAGGAAAGTCGCTCTTTAGGGCTTTTTATTTTAGGGAAACACTGACGAATGTTCAGAGCTCCCGTTCTGAGTGACGCTTTTCATGATCTTGTTTCATCAAAGCGCCTTTCCTTCCTTAATATTGTTCAACTGTGAATGTAGAAATGGGGGAGGGGGGAGAAACTCTTGCGTTAGAGGGATTAGAAACAAACTGTCAAACAAGATTTCAGACTTAAACAAAAAAAACCCATAAATGTAAGTGCTCAGAATTGGCAATGAGAATGCAAAGGGAAAGATCTCTCCTGACTTGTACTGTAGCAGCCCGAACACCCACTAAATTGTGCCAAAGAGTTTAAAAACAATAAAGTAAAACTTCAGGTAATATTTTGGATTGCAAAATGAGGATAAATTCAATGTTCAAACAAAATCTGATAAAATGCCATTTGGAAACTGCTTGGCCTTTTGTGCTCTTTTATTTGATCGAATTTAATGTGGTATTGGTCTCTTGCTGCACTTCAAAACAAAAAAGGAAAAAAAGAGAAATTTATATAAATATATATATACTGGCTTGAGCTTACACAAGACGGCACTTGTAAAAGGTTCTATTTTTCCACTGCAGTTGAAGATTAATAAAATGGTGTCAAACATTCCCCAGTACTTTCTTTTTGTATTCTTGGTCTTTCCAATTAAAAGGGGAACCCATTAACTTTTTTTAACCGTGTACTAAAAGTCTGATGGGCAACCTTGGGACAGATTGGCTGTTTGCCACTCCCCTTAGCATACAGCTTTTTTTATTCTCTAAAATGAAGGATGTGAAGGATCAAAATCTCTTGTCTCTTTTTAAATCAATTTTTTGTTCTTTGAGGCATAGTCCCTCAATTATTCTGGATTTTATCAGCAATAAGACATGAAAAATAGAGAAGGTGTGGGGTTTGAAACAATTTTTAATTTCATCTTTATTATGCAGTTATTGATATTACCAGCATTTCTGAATTTGCATCTTAACTTGGGCATTTTTAAAGCTGTTTGCCTGTGGGAGGGAGAAGGGAAAACCATCTAGTATTTTGCAAGAAGCAGGTAAAAATCTGTTTTATCCCCTTCCTTCTCTCCTCAACTGATCCATGATAATGGAATCCACTTCTGTTGCCCATCCGCACTGCAGCATCCACAATAGCTCTTGTACAGGGTATCAGATATGTGCCTTTCAGTGCCGGGTTCAGAATGCAGTCAAAGTGCCGACCTTTGAACCAGTGTACAAAAAAAATCCCAGGTGTTTAGAGGAGAGGACAGCTCTGTTTGTGAATTGGGAGAGTTGACCACCTCAAAAACATTGGTTAGGGAGAGGCCTGGGTCACATTTCTATTAATGCCTTTTCTTTTTGTTTCGTTTCTTGACGTGGGTTGGGGTTTCCTAAAAAAGCCATTCCTGAAGTTGGGGAGGGGGGACGTGGAGGGGAGAAATCTGATCATTCCTCAGTGCTACCTGTTTCTGTCCTGTGTGGCTGTTCAGCTGTAGACAGCAGGAGAATAAAGTACACTGAGACAGTAGTAGAAACAAATCTTGTGTCTGTCATGTTTTTGTTCCAGGGAAAGCAGTTCTTGAAACTGTTCAAGCTAATCCTTAACAACTTTCACACAAGCAACACCATCCCACAGTGTGGTAGTGAGGAAAAACTGGTCTGTCACCTCCAGTGTTGGTGCTAGGCCTGCAACTGTTATCCTTTAATCCTGTAACCACTGTGGTTTGGAGAGAGGGACAATATAATATATAAATATATTTAAAAAAAAATCTTAAAAGCCAGTTTCACTGCCTGGCAGACTTAATTAATGGGATAAATCCTTGATTTTTAAATGTGCGATTTCAGCACCCGGATCAAAATGTGCTTGTTTCAGCAAAGCATTTTGGTAGCATTTTGTTAGCTCTCAGCCTGGGCTTTGCACCAGCTTTGGCCTGCCACATGAGGTAAAGGTTAGTGTGTGATTGGGGAAGGGATACAGAGGAGAGGAAATATTGCTGTGCTGGAAGTGGCTTAAGAAGCTTTTGGTCTCAAGTAGCAGTTCAGTTCATATTGTGCTGTAGCATTTCTGTATGTTTCTTACGCTTTTCTTTTCCTGGTCAAATGTCTTGCCAAAGGCAGCTAATGGCACTGCCCTTGCAGTTGAATGGAGGGGAAAAAAGTTAATGTAAACTTTCAAAGTGCCCACTTAATGCAGTCCTAGTATTTTACCTTTCAGAACCAAGCAACTTTAACTGTCTCGATTCTGTCAAATTATTGTCAGCCAGACCTAATGAGGTTGGTGCTTATTTGGCTTCTGAATACTTTTTTTATATATCTTTAATCTGTATTGACACTTACATACTGTTACTGTGTCACCTATGAATTGGCAGTTGTGACCTGTTGACAATGATGGATTGGAAAGGGTCCCTCTTACTAACAAATTGGTACCACTGATTTTATTTACCTTCTAAATAAAAGCTGCTTTATTTTGGTTTTCATTATTTTTGCTGCTTCATTTTATATAGCTACGGCATCTCTTGCCAGAAACCCTCCTCCTCTACTTTGCTCAGTGAGACTGTGTGGGTGTACTCTCTGATTGCATGAATGACACTCTCTCGTCTAGTTTCCTGTTTGGGGGAGCTGGAGGTGACAGTGATGTCTCATCCGCCCATATGTGCTATTCTAACATGCATCATCACTGAGCAGGAATAGCAGCGCTATACAAAACTTTTCATGGAAGAAGTCTGGCCTCTTCGATCAGGGTTGGCTGTCTGTTGGTTCTTTGATCTTCAGCGCTGCCTCTGTTGTGTATGCGCATTTGCTGTGTAGCCTCGTAAGTGGTGGTTAGTTAGGGAGAACAGTTTTATTTGCCTCATGCCCCCCCCCCCCATGATGCATAACTTGAGCAGTGGGGGTAGAGCCACAAAGCACAGGTGAGAGGCTTATCAACTGTTTGTAAAGGAGGACTGAGCTCACTGGGATCCCACTTACTGCCAATTAAAAACGGCTTATGATTGTAACACCTACTGCTCACTTTGACAAAGCTAGTCTCTGCACATACGTATGATCTTGTATTTTGCCAAAGCCACCTCATTAATATGGCTATCGGTCACTGAAAATCTCATTTTCCCCTTTGGGCTGTGGCTGTTTCTAACAGGGCATGGCAAGCCTACGACATCTTAGGCAAGTATTAGTGTCTAGCTGTAGCAAAGGCAGTGCAGGGAGGTAGAATGTAATTTAGTCAACAGGGTCTTGCCATTACCCTCTTAGGTGAAATCCCCAGGCATTTTTTAATGACCGAGTGGGCAGGACTTTAGTTTTGTCTCATCTCTTGAACCAGTGACTCCCAAGATTGTGGCCTTATGCTGTGTGGAATAGCTCCCTGTTTCCAGCGGCAATATAGCATTCAAAGAAGTGAAAATGTCTTTTTCATGTAGGCATTTGCAGCTGGGCTGTTAGGTGATATGCGAATGGGAGGGAAGGTGTCAATACTGAGAAACTTGAGACCAGTGTCTTAGCCGAACCTAGTTAGGGACTTCCTAATGTGCTCCCATATATCATACCTAGCATCCCTACCACCTCATGAGAGATTGGAGGCTTTGTCTGCGGAGGGGGGAGAGATGGTACACAGAGCCCATACAGCTCCTACAATCCGTACTGTGAAATCTCACCTGGCTGATCAAAATTATAGTACCTTCCTGCTCATACAAGCGAGGTTGCTAGAGACTGCTCTTACCGCTGCTGATGTTAAGCTGGTAGGAATCCGAGCCAGGATGAGTACCATTCTGAAAGGAGCACTTGTGCTGATTAGGTAAGGCCTCCAGGGAGATGATGATTCATGGCGTATGGTGCAGCTGGTTCCCCACTGCCATGACTCTCTCCCTACCCCCTTCCTGTAGTTGTTGCTACCTCTGCCAGGAGATGAAGATGCCACAGTAGAAATATGTGAGGATTCAACCCTCAGGCTACATTCTGCCAGTATTACCTCACAAGAGCCGTCCTGCAGTTCAGCAAGTTAAAATTGTGAGCCAAAGAGCCTCCTTCAACCTCAGGGCCCCATGTAGCTGATGGGTTCAGGAGCATTAAAATCACCTCTCTGCAACTGCACACTCTGCCCCATTAGAACACAACCTGGTCTCTGACGGTGTTAATAGTAGCCTCTGGTTAGGACCCTTCCTGCTCCCTTAATCCAACTGCTGGGTTACGACTGCCTTACTGAGAACACTCACCCTCTAAATGTAAAACGGGAGAGGGGCATTGGGGTGCTGCACAAGCGCGAGTGCTGGAGAACATCTGCCACCCCGTGATCTTAAAGGCCTCTCCATCCTCTCAGCTTCACAACTTCCTTGTGCCTGATGTGAAATGAACAACGCTACATAAGAACGGTTACACTGGGTCAGACCAATGGTCCATCTGGCCCAGTATCCTGTCTTACCGCAGCGGCCAATGCCAGGTGCTTCAGACGAAATGAACCAAACGTCATCAAGTGATTCTCTTTTGCCCATTCCCAGCTTCTGGCAAACAGACTAGGGACCACATCCCTGCCCACTAATATACCCTGTTGAAATGGCAGGGGCAAACCAGCTAGGCAGAATGGAGTTTCCCTAGCTGGACTTCAAGCAAGCCTGTCGTGTTAACACATTTCTCTTTCCAAAGGTTTCTGGAGCCTTAAATTACTATCTGGTCAGGGCCTCTTATTTCAACAGCTTGTTCGAAAGAGAGTTCCGCCTAACAGCCTGGTGTTCTCTTGTAGTCAGGTGGGGAAGGTGGTTCTGTAACAACGTGGAGAGCAGCGCACGCTCTACTCTCTTAGGTGTCAGCGTAAAACAAGGCACGAGATAGGCCGGTATAAACTTCTCATGTTTTTCACTATCCAGGCTTATGAATCTGATAGGCAGACTCTACCCATGCCTAGAGCTAGGAATATATGACCACTGTTGATTTGGATATCCATACCGCCCCATGTCCTCCTACCCTGGAGAGCAATCCCCCAGCAGTCCCTGGGGCTTCTTGTATAAAGGCAAGTGGGATTTAAGCTCCTCTCCACTGATATTGCTAGCTCATAGACAGTGCTCCGCTTACCCAAATAAGGGGTTAAAAGCACCAGAAAAGAGGTCTCTAGATTCAAAAGGTGGGCTCTGAAAAGAAGGCCTGTATTACGCCACACCCTCATTAAATCACTTGTTTCCCCCTAACCAGTTACACTAATGCCATCCTGCAGCTACAGTTGTTAAAGCCCCCGATACTATACATTGCTTCTGGTGACATCCTGACGCCACAAAGCTTAATTAAGAGAGCCACACCAACCTTGCAGGTCCGAAGTAGCTCCCAAAATCCAGAGCATCTTTCGGTGTTGGTGACTTTGTCTAGACCAAACCTGTGAACGTCACGTGGTAACGTCGCAGAACCTGCAGTGCCTATAAACTGGATGCTGAATGGAACAAGGGTGAATCAT